CTACTAAATATACTGTTGGGTAGTTTAATCTACAACAATGCATCATGTTGTAAAAGACCATATTTTTATAGTGTTGCGGTTTGTGAGAAAAAAGAAAACTTAGTACTTCATATTTGTTCGAGAATACTTAATGAATGTACTTCCTTACAGTCCACCTCTGATTATTTTGAAAATAAAAGTATCAACATTTTGTCACAATATTAACACATTTTTGCTAACTATATCAAAGGCTGCATCTGAAGGACTCGGACCGGTCAAACAGAGCACTGTTCAGCTGTGACGGCTGCCTCTGAACATTGAGCTCTACAATGCTCTATTTTTTTATTCACAGTTGTATTTTTGCTAACCTGTCTACATATGATCACCATGGTCAAGACAATAAACTATATAAAATCGCTCCTTTGTAAGATATCAGTGTGTGTGTGTGTATTTTGTAGTTTTTCATACGTATCATTACATTATTCAAGTAAGCTCCAAGCCAATTCCTGCATTTTAAGTTGTAATCTGACAAAGGATGCAGCAAACCAGTGTAACTTACCTGGCCTCGGTCTTGGCTAAGCCTGAGGTACATCACCGTCTCCTCCATTATGACATAAAACATAAAAACAAAAATGAGCAATTCTGGCTCCACCTGTCCTGGCAGGATTGTCCTCTCGCCAGCGCTCCTCTCGCACCGCTGTGCGACAGAGCGCTAATCGGAAACCTCTGGTGTCGCAATTAGGAAATCCTGTGAAGGCGGAGGGTCCTTCATGCACTTCGGAGGCATGGTCTTCGAAGTCCGTGCCCTTCGAAGTGTGTGCACTTAACTTTGGGACACAGCTTTTGTGTGTGAGTGCAATCTTTCCCTGCGTTCCATTCGGAAGGGCTCATCCCTACGCCCTAATCCCTTCAAAGGCTTTAACCTCCGAAGTGAGAGCTTCGAAGGGTTGAAGGGTGTAGGGGACCAAACAACTGTTTCTTGAAGTGCCCTTCTGCATCATCATCACGTGCCCACACGGAGGCGCCGTCATCATGCAAAGAATCAACGCAAAGAATCATGGGAGCACGAAGTGTCCCATCAGTTGTAGCCTTCGACATCCTTCATTCCGAAGGGCCCTTTGAAGTGGCCAGTTTTGACACTTCGTTGAGCACTCAAAAGTGCCCTTCGGAGGGCGATATATCCCGTTTGGAAAGCACCGTTTATAGTCCTCCTAATATGAGACAGCTGTGAACTGATGATGAGATCTGATGAGTCCAGGCAAAGGATTATGGGAAATGGAGTCCGAGGTGAATGGCAAAGTGTATGGGATGGAGTGCCCTCTAGCAGAGCTCGTGGGCACTCCAGCTGGCGTTTGTAAAAATAAACTGATTAATTTGGCCCAATTTCCCAAACCATTCATTCAGTTCTGGTAATAAAGACACATTCATCAAAACTTTTAACACATTTCACCTGTTTTCACAGACGGATGCTGAATTTATTTATTCGTTTAGTTTTTTGCTGTAGAGTAATTGACTGTATACTGCATTGTGTGTTCAACTTAAATCTTTGCCATTTAAATTTTTCTTATTGCTTTTCACCTACTGGAGATTTCTTTACAGTAGTTTAATGAAAGTCAACTTTTCTTAAAGTTTATTGCTAAATTTCACTGTATCTGCACCCCTCTGTTTATGCTGTATACTGTAATACACATTAACTTAAATGCAAAATTATTCCTGATCCCCAAAAGCAGATTTTCTGTAACAGCGTTCTGAATTGAGCTCACTAGTGTTCTCTAGGCAGTGAAGTAGTCTGTGTATTTGTCAGGTTTGTGTGTCATCTGAGGCCAAAGTTTCATTCTGACAAAAGAAAAAAAAAATTGATCTGAAAGTTTGAGGTTTGTACGAGTTGGTTTGAAGATTGTGTTGTGAGAAAATGGTAAATTGTTTCAAGAATTGTGTTAGCAATCAAGAAAACCTAAAAACTAAATGAGGAAAACACAGAAACACATGGTCACTCAGCAGGACTCATACACACTTATCTTATTGTCTATATGAGGATTTATTACACACTTTTATTCTGACGTTATTTCACAGACAGAAGTTCAGCTGCAGTATTAATGTCATGAAGACAAAAGAAGAGACTCTATAACATCTCACTGTTACTGATTTATCATGCAGCTCAAAGCATTATGGGTAGAATCCCTCATCAGTCTATTCCGATTCAGATTCATCAACACAGTTTCACTGATGATTTAGAATCAACCCAAAACCCAGGATAGAGCGGCTGAGTGAATGTGGTCTGGACTGTGTGGATGAGGCTCATTGTGTCAGAGACGCTGCAGAAGGACAGAGTTCCTGCACTGTGATCCACATACACTCCTATTCTACTGCTGATGGACTTCACAGAGAGACGAGTCTCTATGTTATTGTGCCAGAATGAGTAGCTGGAGGGAGAGCAGTACAAACACCAGGACTGATCATTATTTCCAAAGGCACATTCATGACCCCGTCCCT